TTTTAATTGGAAAATGTAATGAGCTTATTAATTAATTGTTAAATGCAAATATATATATTATTTGGTAAGTCCTGGCTCCAAGGAATGCCAACATTTAGTTTGTTATATAAGACAGTAACATGTGTAAACTGTCATCCAATCAGAGTGCATAGCTGACTGCATTTTCTGCATTTACAGAATCTGAGAATATGAGATGAGCTCATGACCTTATTGTGATGACCTGATGACGACCCGGTGGAAGAGGACAAGAAAAAAGAAGATGTATGGAGAGACAGTGCAAGACAGAGAGAAACAGGATGCAGTTTAGAATTGTTTAATGTGCATCAAATATTGATGCTTTCATATATATTATGATCAGTGTGCGTGTGTGCGTGTGTATGTGTCATGGTGGACTGCCTACCAAATCAATCAGCCTATCAGAGAGCAGTGAAGCACACTGAAACCATTTACAGCACTCTGTACCTCAATACACCTGACGCCTGGGGACTCCACAGGTGTGTGTGTGTGTGTGTGTCCTAGAACTTCCTAAACCCAGCCTTAGAATGAGACTTATTTTAACCAATAGAGGGATTCTTTCTTTCCACAGAAAGATGCATCACTCACAGTTTTAATATTTAATTTTGGAATTATTTTTCTGCATCCACCTTAACCTTATCCGTGCATATTCAAGTACTTTCTATGGATGTGTTCGGTGCATTGAGTTGCATGATGAAGTATCGGCGGTCACATGGGCCAAGGCTGGAGTAGATCCTGTCAGTGTGTACTGGAGCAGCAACGAAGGTCTATTACACCACCTGTTTAGCCACTATTCAACAATAGCATCATATTCTTTTAAGGCAATGCCAGGACCCTGGTATAGGTCTAGATATCATTCTAGCAAGCTGAAGCTAACAATGACACACAGGGGAGTGCCAACGAAGGTAATGATGGCGCTAAGTGCTGTGTCAAAAAGACTTGTTGTTCCAATAAGGAAATTCTTACATTGCTACAGATAGTAGTAGAGTTGCAGCTACTAAGCATGTTGGTTTAATAGAAAACACCCACTGTTGACAACAATAAAAGTTCAAATTGTAAATACAGAAGCATCTGAATGTGTGTAAGAGGACAGGGCTGGTGCAGGTAACTAGGGAAGTGTGAGGTCACCTGTCACACATTTTATACTTATATTACATATAATGAACCAGTTACTTAATCAGATATATATTAATACATCAGTGAATTTGCATTTTGACATAATCTTTCCATTGTATATAGAGTATATGTTGTATGTTATTCATTATTTTGTGGCAGTTATTTACACTTGTTTCCACTTTTAATAATTTATAAATTATTCATTTTAGTTAACTCAAGGATGCAATCTTATGCAATATCATTATGCATCACACTGCTATTTTTTTTAATATTTGTATATATTGTCTCTTGATTGGGTCTCTGTTTTTATCTTTATTTATGTTTTTTTATATTTAATTGTCATGCACAAACTGATTTGTACGTGAAAACCTACTTGGCAAAAAACTTGATTCTGGTTCTGATTCTAAATGATGATTAGCTTGGGCTGCTTTCTCCAGGTTTCTGATTCTTTAGGTTATGGTGAGCTACACTGGGTGACTTCCGATGGGATGTACAGTGGGAGGTGCTGACTCTGAGGCAGAGCTTCCGTGGTTACAGAAAGAAACAGATGCAGGCAGAGAGAAAGATCAGTCAGATTGTTTCTTTGTGTTCAATTAGTAGACTCAGTAGAGTCTGTTAAAGAAGCAGAGCAAGCAGCTGGACACAAATACACACACACACACACACACACACGCACGCAGAGTAATGCAGCTGACAAAGGGCTGTTCACGGAGGCTGATCAAAGCTGTGGCAGATGGTGATGCAGGGAATAGCTAGCCACGGTTGGACACACACACACGCACACACACACTAACGGATTATGAACAAAAACTCTGCCTGTCATCTTCTTCTTCCTCTTCTCCACAAACTCTTATTTCTTTGCTTCCGTCCTTCCCATCCCAACTTTCCCCTGTAGTTTCACTGGGCACCTTAGAGTCTCTGTCCCACCAACGCTGTCTCGAGTTTTGAGTCTGTATGTGTGAACCCCTAAGAGTCTACAGCACTGTGAGATTGTTATTTGGCACAGCAGTGCTTTGAGCTAAATGCTACTATCACCTTGCTAACATGAGGCAGGTAATGAGCAACCAACTTAGTTTACTGTACCATGTTAGGATGCTAACATTTACTAATTAGCACTAAACTCAAAAGACAGATAAAGCTGATGGTTATGTCATTAGTCTTGCATAAAAGTATTGGACAAATTAAAGTTCTGATCTAATAATAATGCTAGATGATTGGGGGATCACCAAAGTTATTAGAAGTCCTCCTCTAGAGAGCTTGAATATATTTTCATGACAGTCCATCCTAAAGTTGTCAAGATATTTCACTCTGAACCACTAATATCAACCTTGTGGTAGCACTAGAGGAAAAATCACAAAAATCTGTATGATTTATCCCATGGGGACCAAGAATGTTTGTCCACAAATTCATCGCAATCCATGTAATCGTTTTTGAGATATTTTAGTCTGGACCGAAGTGGTGGACCAACATTGCCATCCCTTATACACTCCTGAATAAAATCTTAAGACCGGGAGAAAAAGTAACGTTGGAAGCCATCAGGACCGTCCAGGTTAAATTTTTTCTCATCAGAGAATAAAACTTTCTTCCGGATCGGCTTGTGTCTTCACGGACAGCCCGATGGATCCTCCGGCTCAGCGCATTTTTTTGGGTCTACCACTTAACCTTTTTGTCCCATAACCCTCAGGATCTTTTAAGAAATTTAAAGTGACTGTCTTACTGCATCTAACCTCGGCGGCGATGGCGCATTGCAAGAGGCCTTGCCTGTGCAGCTGAACAAACCCGCCACCTTCAAAGACAGAAAGCCTTTTTGCCTTTGCCATCAGGGGGTCATGACAGTGTGAATGCCTGATAGAAAATGACATGAAAGCCAGATTTTTGCACAGATTTGGACTTTTTAAGGCTATGGTCTTAACTTTTGATCAGCTGATGAACAGCCTGTTTGAGTTTAAATGCAATTTTCAATAAATTGCCTCCTCTATTGTTTTGTCTCTTGCTCCTG